CAAACATTCAAACAGTTTTGCAACCTTGTGGCAAGAAGTTTGGAGAGAATTTTGTAGACTACAGAACAAAGACTGATTGGTCTGTACTGAGTGATGAAATCAGGGTTCAAGAATTTAGGGATCAATGAGACTATAGTGTGATTCCAATATTTGAGAAGAAGACCATCATTGTGGAAGAAACTAGTTATAGCAGCAACTAATTCAGGTTTAATAGTTTCCCAGAAAGATTGATAAAACAAAGCTGTCATACCATCTTCTCCTGGAGATTTCTCAGGGTGAAGGCTGAAGAGAGTTGCTTTGATCTCCTCCTCATCTACTGCTTTTAAGAGCTGAAGATTCATATCAGAGGTGACAGAGTGAGGAATAAGCTGAAGGATGGAATCTCCTCCCCATGATCCTTCTGAGGTAAAAAGTTCAGAGTAGAAATCAGTTATATGATCTTGAATTTCCTTGTGAGTGTTGCAGACTCTGTTCTGACTTGTAACAAGTCTAGTGATTGCATTTTGTCTCCTTCTCTGCATAGTGTATGCATGAAAGAATTTCGAGTTGCAGTCACCTTCCCTCAGCCACTGAACTTTGGCTTTTTGTTGCCAGAAAATTTCCTCAGATCTGTGGGCAGCTTCAAGCTCTCTTTTTGTGCTAATCCAATCTTCCCAGTTAGTTGTGTTTCTGTTTTCTTGAAGAAGATCCAGCTTCTTTGAGAGATTTGCAATAAGAGATTGGTTCTCAGTTTTGAAAAAGGCACTCCACTTCAGCAAAGCCAGTCTTGTGGTCTTAATTTTCTCTTTCAGGATGAAAAAAGGAGTGCCTGACTGTGGTAAGCTCCAAGCTGCTTTCACAATATCACCAACACCCTTTCTAGTGAGCCACCTTTTGTCAAAGGAAAACATACTTTTCCTTATGGATTTATTGTCCCCAATGTGCAATATCAGCATTGAATGATCAGAGGAAGCTTTGGCCATAGTAGAGATATAAGCATGAGGGTGATTCTCTAACCATTCAGGTGAAGCAAATCCTCTGTCCAATTTTTCCTCCACCAGACCTTCAGTGAATCTGTTGTTGCACCAAGTGAATTTGTTCCCAATCATCCTTATTTCCTCCATTCCCATCAGATTAGTAAAGTTTCTGAAGCCTGCCATGCTGGATTCTGATCTAGGGATTCCCCCTCTTTTGTCCTCCTTGGAGTTGATGTCATTCCAATCACCTAATATATACCAGTTGTCTCCCCAGTGAGATTTGGCTGTTTCTAGATCTCTCCATTGATCTTGTCTGATGTTGTTTGAAGTGCTAAGATATACAAAGATTCCCCATGAAGGGGCAGCATCAGCCATTTTGTACTCCACAGCAATGAAAAATTGTTGGCAGATAACTTGAGAGATTTGAACTTCATTATTCCAGCATAAGACTAATCCACCACTCAATCCAACAGGATCTACAATAGCACACCTGTTGTCAAAACCCAGCTTCCTAACAACTGTTTTTACAAAAGCAGAAGATTTTTTAGTTTCTGATAAAAATAAAAAAAGAGGGTGATGAGCCTTGCAAGACTCTCTGGTTTGGGAAACTGTAGAGGGCCCACCCAGCCCTCTACAGTTCCACACCACAACTAGCATTGGGAACTTGGGTGCCAATCTAGGCTGGCCACCTCCACCTTTTGTATTTCAGTTTTCTGTTTTTTCCCACCCTCCTCAGGTAGCTTATCATCATGGGTACCTTCTGGGATTTGAGTTTGCTCCTGTCTAGACCTTTTTCCACTGCTACTACTCTCCATCAGAGAATGAGTATCTGATTGTCTCTGAAGTCTACCCGTTCTTGCTGATGATCTTTTCCAAGTTTTGGCAATAGATTTGTGCAAATCTTGAACTGAGACCATAGCCTTATTTTGAGATTTAGAAATAGCATGCTCAGTTTCCATATCAGAAGACTGTGGGATATTGATTGGGAGTTGATGAGGGGGAGTTTGTTCTGGGATTGTGAGACTGGTAGAAGGAGGTTTTTCAATAGGCTTTGGTGTTGTCTGAGTTGAAGTATGAAAGGAAGAGGAGGCAACTGAGGTTTGAATATTATGGGGTGAAGAAGAAGCAGGAAATGGAATTAGCTGGTTGATGGCATTGTCTTGACTGAAAGTGGATGAGGGGGCATTGACTGGAGTTGGAGGGGAGGCAGAGGTTGCTCGTGGTGGACTTTGAGATCCTGCATTGTTAGTCCCAGCCCAATGTCTGCTTTCAGTGGCTCGCATCCAATCTCTGAATTGTCCTTCCTTGACTGTGTTTGAGCGGATATCCTCCAGTCTTTTTGAACATTCTCTATCCAAGTGACCAATCCAACCACAATAATGACAGTGGTTTACTAGTTTTTCATATTTAAAGCTTACAGTAGCTTCTTGGTCATCCAGTCTGAGCTTAGCACATCTAGGAAGAGGTTCATTCAAGTTCACGGCCGCAAGAAGACGCATAATTCTTCCTCCGTGACTTCCTGCTCCCACAATCACAACATTCTTAACTTGCTTGAACACCCTACCTATTTTCATACCCACATCAGTGCTAAGCCAGTTAAGGGGTACGTTAAAAACCTGAACCCAGAGCTGCAGCTCTTGAAATATAGGGTGGTTCATCGATAGCCCTGTTTTCCATTCTGAGAGGATGAGGTATTGATTTTCAAAAGTCCAGTTGATGCCTTTATTCACTTTCTCCAGATCTTCTTTGTTTTGGAAAATGAATTGGAAGAAGTTATGGCCTAATTCTCTTGCTTCCATAGGCTCACGGAGTTTCCATATGTAATTCAGCGCCCTCTGAACTCCGATCCATGAAGCTTTCCTGTCGCCAATGATTTTGCCAAATAAACTACGCTTGCATTCTCCATCGCTGAGTTTGATGTCGACTTGACCCAAATCGATGTAGTTATGCTCTTTTTCCGACAGAGAGAAGCCTTCAAGGCGTTGGGAAAGTTCGTCGTCTTGCCCTGTACAGGAACTAGACGCCATCAGAAACCCTAATTTCCACTATAGCAGAAGCAGAGAACTCAAACACTCTAGATCTGGCAAAGAAGATTATAGGCTAAAGAAGAAGGAACGAGAGAAGAAGGAATTGAAGCAATCCCGGACCAAACTGCAAAACGCTCTCCGGCGAGAGAATATCGGACGCTCCCAAGCGAGATTATTTCTCAATTGATATATTTATATTTAATGTAGTTATATATTGTAAGTTAAAAAAATTAGTATAATATAACACAAGTAAGTCGCACAAATAAAAAGTGTCATAATAAATATATAATAATATATATATTCTTATAGAAGGTATAAAAATTTTCAAACTATTTTTTCTCATTAATTTTAGATTTAAAAAAAAAAAATTAACAAGCACCCGTGTAATACACGGGTGTTGTACTAGTTAATATACATTATTCCAACACTGTAATGCATATTACATTGTATTCAAATAGCTACCAAAATTCTAAAATCAAATATTTATCGAAGGTATTTAAAGTGAATATATAAGACATGGGCTAAAACTTTGAAGAAAAATAAAGGAAAAAGGAAGATAAAGGCAGCGTACAGAAACTCAACGAGAAGAAGAAAAATATATATGCCGTCTACGCGTGAAGATACTCTTCCGGCAACAGAACTATCAACCCGCCTAAGGTTTTAACCACTTCTAGAAATTTGAAAATAACATAAATTTTAGAGTTTCAAAAATCCTATAAAAACCGGGATTTCAGGCCGCAACGTAAACAGCATATCAACTAGAATGAAAATATATATTCGAACGATAAAACGACTACGACTCGAGACTCCAAAATTTACAAGGATCATATACAACAGCTAAGAGCTCGATTTACAATACGAGAGTCCCAATCATTCCACGAAAAATATGCACGAATCTCGATGAACGAAACAAAATAAAACGTAAAGAATCAAATCCGACAATCCACGAGAATCGATATAACGAGCACGATATATATATCAAGGAGGCTCGTAATAGATTACCCGTCTTCAGAAATCTATGATTTTTCTGAAAACGGTCGGTCGAACGGGGTAAACGAACGAATGACCGGGCCTCGAAACTCGAAACCTTTGAACACGGAGACTGATGGCTGCTGGTTCTCGACGGCACAATGGCTCTTCTGCGTAAATGTCGACGACTAATGGAGATATCAGCGTACAAACATGTTGTCGGAGGGGACGGTTTCACCGGATTTAATGGTGGACGGAGCTTCAGAGATGACTCACCACCGAAGGTTCACGACGGGTGATGTGCGACTATTACAGAATGCTCAGGGAAGGTCGCCTGAACCTCTAATATTAATCGGATCCAGGTAGCCGGAAACTGGCGAGAAAGCAAGCGACAGATTTCTCTTTTTTTTTAAAGGGTCGTGCTATGAATATTATGAAAGATAGAGGAACTTCTGATGAAGTTGATAAGACTCTATTGGCTGATATATAGGAAGGACGAGAGACAACGCAACGTGGAAGCAAATTCATGAAAAATCACAACCAAATTTTTTTTAAAGGGAAAGACTTGGTCGATGAGTGAAGGAGAAGAGGGAAAATATCCGTTCTGGAATTTGCACGTGAACTAACTAATTATGGCTAAGAAGATCTCTTTTTAGGCTACAAGAATTATTTATGGATTTTGGGCCAACATTACTTAATTATTTGGGCTGAAATAAAATGGCAAAAAGGCCTAGGAATTAAATACCGTTGGGCTGGAAATTTAACATAATTTTGGGTTGGATTCAATTTAAAAAGCTGGGATTTTAATCATCCAAATGGACCGAAATTATTCCCGATAAATTGACCCATTATCAAATTCATAACTCGATAATAATAATTTTTCGATAAAATAGGTCAAGTATTAAACTCGAAGTTCGGTTTCCCGATAGGCGGGACCGAATATGTCGAGCGATACACACGATAACGTATTGCAAATAAATAATAAAAAACGATAATTCAATAATACAGAAAAATTCATAATTCAAACGGGGCGCTACAGCAGTGTACTGATGCTCAATATGTTGTCTGTGCCCGTTACCAGCTAGACGAGGATGCAGCAGAATGGTGGTTAGACTACTGGTGGCTGAGGCCGGGAGAGCTGGCCAATCTGACCTGGGATGGAATGAAACAGGTGGTACTCGAGAAGTATTATCCACAGAATTACCATGCTAGGATGGAGCGCAAATTCTGGTATCTCGGTTAAGGAACTCGGACAGTTAAGAAGTATGAGCGGTACTTCACTCGCATGAGTGCCTTTGCCCTTCATTTAGTGGACACTGAGGAGAAGAAAGCCACCAAGTTCCGTGACGGACTTCGCCCCGACCTCTGTATGCACCTCACCAGCCAGGGGAACCTTCCCTATGGTGAAACTGTGATCACGCTCTACAGCTTGAGAGCTACCAAGCCCTCTGTCCCCCCACTCCTTCTTATCAGCATGCTCAGCCAGCCCAACCTGTTACTTCTATTCCGCCCAGCTCTAGCTCAGGCAAGAGAAAGTCTGATGGACAAAACCGGAAGGGAGAACGTGGAGGTTCAGACAGACGTGACAATCGCCCCGCCCCCAACAGACCATGTGCAAACTGTGGCAAGTACCACAGCGGAGAATGCCGAGCAGCTCAGCCAGCCTGTTACAACTGCCATCGACCGGGCCATTATGCCAACGTGTGCCCCGAGCCCAAGAGGCAGCAGCAGCCGCCTTATCCACAGTAGCAGCAGCTTCCACCACCACCTCAGCAACAGAATGCATAGCAGCCACCACAACCATTCCATCAGCGGGCAGGAAGTCATGCCCGAGTTTATACCCTTGCCCGTGAGGAGACCGCCAACAACTCAGGTACCATGTACGACATGATTTCAATATACAATGTGTCCGTATTTACCTTGTGTGATACAGGTGCCTCCCAGTCTTTTATATCTTCTCGCTGCTTGGAGGCCTTAGCAATTAGTGATGTGTGTGAAGTTGATCCTCTCGAGGTTAGCTTAGCCTCGGAAAAAACTATTGCTTCTAATTCTATGATCCGTGGTCTGCGAGTCAACATTGGTGGGCAAGACTTGGAGGCCGATACTTATGTGATTGAAATGCACGACTTCGACGTAATCCTCGGCATGGACTGGCTCACTCGTTATCAAGCTGATATCCAGTGTCAGGATCGAGAAGTGACTCTTTATTTTGATGACGATCAGCCTATTATATTCTAAGGGGTGAAATCGAGGACTGTGCCTCGAGTCAATTCTTCTCTCAAAGCTATGAAGAGTCTGTCTAAGGGTAGCTGCCAAGGTTACATAGTTAGTATAGTGAATGAAGATACCAAAAGTACTATGGAATGGGTCTCTATTGTGTGTGAGTACCTTGATGTGTTTCCAGAGCAGTTGCCAGGTGGACCGTCGGATCGCCAGGTCGAGTTCACCATTGACATAGTACCTGGATCTGGTCCCGTGTCTAAGGCACCCTACAGTATGGCACCGAAGGAGCTGTAAGAGCTCAAGTCCCAGATACACAAGTTACTCAATCTTGGCTTCGTCCCGCCGAGCGTATCTCCCCAGGGAGCGTCTGTTCTTTTTGTGAAGAAGAAAGATGGGTCAATGCGAATGTGCATTGACTACCGTGAACTGAACAACCTCACCTTTAAGAACAAATACCCTCTTCTCTGCATCAAGGACCTCTTTGACCAGCTGAGGGGAGCCAGTGTTTTCTCCAAGATCGAACTGAGGTCTAGCTACGATCTGTTAAAGATTAGAGAGTCTGATATTTCTAAGTATGCGTTTCGAACCAGGTACGGGCACTATGAGTTTGAGGTCATGTCGTTCGGGTTAAGCAATGCTCCGGTGGTGTTCATGGATCTTATGAATGGGGTCTTCCATCTGTATATGGACCAGTTTGTCATTGTGTTTATCAACGACATTCTGCTGTATTCTCGGGACATCGATCAGCATAAGGAGCATTTGAGGATTGTGTTTGAGACCCTTCGCCGCGAGAATATTTATGCCATGTTCTCGAAGTGCGAGTTTTGGCTCGACCGTGTGGCCTTCTTTGGCCATATTGTGACTTCTAGAGGCATTGAGGTGGATCCCGGCAAGATAGAGGCTGCGAGCAAGTGGGAGACACCAAGAAATACTAGTGACATTCGTAGTTTCCTGGGGTTAGCAGGATACTACATGAGGTTCATCGAGGGCTTCTCAAAGATAGCCCAACCACTAACCAACGTCACGAGGAAAGCAGCTAAGTTTGTATGGAGCCCTTAGTGCGAGGCTAGTTTCCAAGAGTTAAAGAGGAGACTGACTACCACACCCATTTTTTCTATCCCCGACCTGACTTTGGAGTTCACGATCTATAGTGATGCTTCAAAGATGGGTTTGGGATGTGTTCTAAGTAGCAAGGGAGAGCACTGGCATATGCTTCGAGGCAACTGAAGCCTCACAAGCAGAATTACCCCACTCATGATCTCGAGTTTGCTGCAGTATTCCACCCCTTGAGGATTTGGCGGCACTACTTCTACGGAGGAAAGTGTGAGATTTTTACAGATCATAAGAGCTTGAAGTATATCTTTACTCAAAAGGAGCTCAATATGCCAAAGAAGGTGGTTAGAGCTGGTCAAGGACTATGATTGAACAATTAGCTACCATCCCGAGAAAGCTAATGTGATTGTCTGAATGATCGGAAGGGTCATGGCCAACTGTCATGTCTATTCACCGATCATAAGATGCTTTGTCAGGAGTTTGAGCGGCTACAATTAGAGGAAGTAGAGTCGTCTTCGCCGGTCAGTGGTACGTTGACCGCCTTGGTCATGGGACCGACTCTTCGCGAGAGGATAGTTGCCGAGCAACCAAATGATCAGTTCTTATGCCGGATTAGAGAGTTAGCTGAAGCCGTCAAGGTCGGAGGATTTGCAGTCGCAGCTGACGGGCATTGGTTTTTTAGGGTAGACTATGTGCTCCGAAAGTATGGAAGTTGCGATGAGAGATTCTTTGAGAGTCTCATAC